GTAGTTCGCTACCTCATTCAACATAATCACTACTGTGGTATGTAGAGGATGGAGTGCTTGGAATAGTATATTTTCTTAATTCAATCTTTTGGGATACTGACACAATTGTTTTTCCTTTTTTTTGTAACTGATAAGCAACTTATCTGTTAAGTTGAGTATAGGTCAACACCTTTGAGCGTTTTTAGCTAGCTCTCTTCTTGAGCAAAGCTGGGTGGTGCATTAGATGAGAGCAATTACCTACATAGCAAGGCAGGGTCCTGGAGAGTTAAAGGAAGCTCCATGCAGATGTTCTCAGCCTACTTATTTAACACCGATCTACCACTTCTTCAACTGTGTATTAAAAAAGTGACTGGTGCCTTTCTGGAGCCCTGTCAAACTATGAGCAAACAATTTAAGAACTCCTTACATTGGTGGGGTGCAAGGACAGTCCTTGCATTAGAACCTAACAGCACACTATAGTGGTTATGGTTCCAGGAGTTATTTAAAAAAACAACAGTATATATTCTTGCCACCTGTCAATCATTTATGCATTTTGCCAGATATTAACCAGATTGGTTACTGGCCACATATATTCAGAACCAAATTAAATTCATTCAGACATAAGAGACCAAGGCAAAAGGTGTATTGTTCAAAAATATTGCAGTGAATAGATGTAGGTAAGAAGGGGACACTACATAACTAAAGGGACACTACACTGCCCAAATAAAAACAAAAAATAATATATAGATAATATTAAGGTAATATTAAATTAAAGGGACACTCTACTAACACCCCCTCCTCCTCCCCAAATAAACACTATTTACATCATATTAATTAAAATTAAGATAATATTAATAATAAAGGGACAATGCTCCTCCCAAATAAAAAAAAACACAAGTTTGTAGATATAATCTGGATCAACAGATGCATGCATTTAATTATGCTTTTTTGGGGGGGTTAGCTTTTTTTGGGGGGGGGTTATATCTAAAACATTTTGCAAACACTGCAGATCTCTTGTCTGCAGCCTTTGCAAACCCACCACTTCTAACCATGCCAGACATTGTAGATGTACAATAACAGGCATCCCAATACAGTTTATTAAGAAGTCTGGTGAGTGCACTGAGCAATTGCCACTAAGTTCAAGGACCACTATAGTCACCCAGACCACTTCAGCTCTCGCCCGCACGTGCATTTGGCTCCACTCGGGAGCCGACGTCAGAGGGGGAGGAGAGGTCACCAGAGCCGAGGGAGCCCGGCTCTGGATAAAGGTAAGTGGCTGAAGGTGTCTTAACCCATTCTGATCAGCGGGAGGGGGGCCCTGAGTGTGGGGGGACCTAATAACCCTATAGTTTGTTTTCCTGACACTATAGTGATCCTTTAAACTACTAGGAAGTAACAGGAAAGGCTGTCTGACAGCCGGGGGGGTATAACAAAGTTAATTAAGTTAAATTTCTATTGAGATCTGCACTTTTTTTGTAAAAAAAAAAAAAAGAAAACATACTCTTCACACATAAAGAACTTCAGCAAGCTAATGTGCTTTATGTGTTATGTTCCTTTAACAATGTCCTAGTCATAATTTAGACAAATATCAAATTGCTTAAGCTTACAATTACAGACAATCTCCGTCCCATGCATAATTATTATAATAACACACACATATTAATACTAACAACATAAATAAAAATGTATGTTAATATTTTTGTCTTTGAAACCATACCAATAGATTTATGGCTGTTAAGTATTGCGATCTGTTTTAATTATTCGCAAATTTAAATAAAATATGGATATATTGTTTTATAAACAGCATTGCATGCACTCATAATATCCAACATTTTTTTTAGAAACAGTATATTACTTAGTCAAAATATTTAACACATCATAACTGTACCCCTCTTGTTTCACCTTTCCTGTCTTCTGATTTTTTCTCTTTCATATTCTGTTATTCGGTGAAAATACATTTGGTTCATGCAATGTGAAGAGATACATGGTCCTGTAACAATGTTACATAAATGTATACGTTCTGTGATGTCAGTGCTAAACAATCTGTTGTATTTTTTTTTTTTAAACTTGTATTTTATTAGTTTTCACAACTGATAAGTATAGGGAAGGAGGGGTGTGGTACAGAAAGAAGAGATGGGAGGGGGGAGGGGGGTCAGTTACGTTACAGTAAATCGTATGGTATCCAGAATATACAATAAGAATTGTTCACTTGTATTTACATTGATTGATTCAGCAGTACACATTAAGCCAATTTCTCTTTACGCATCTAGTTCCATCTAAAATTCTCCATGTGTTTGATGTCTTAGTATCTGGCCCTAAGCCACAGGCCGTGGCTTGTGTGGAGTCCTGCTAGGGTGTCTGAGGACTTGAGTGTTGTATGTTGGCTGATCTCCATACCTTCCACTGATCCCACATATCGCTAAGGTAGCATGGTCTAGTGTGCGCCCTAGAGAAACTCATTTCATACATGGATTGAGTGTCTACTTCCTGAATGAGATTGGGGATGCTAGGGGTCTCATTTGTCTTCCAGCGTCGCGCAGTTAGCAGGACATGGTACATCAGTTTCTTCGATTTTGTGGGTATTCCCTTGGGAATGTCTAGTAGTAGAAAAATCTTGGGATCAAAGGGTATCTGAATGCCAGTGGCCTCAACAATAATCTTTTGGGTGTCCTCCCAATACCTGATTAGGCGTGGACACCTCCACCAAATGTGAAGAACTGACCCTTTATCTTGTTTGCATCTCCAACACATCGCGGACGTGTGGGGATATATTTTATGTAAATGTAGTGGGACCATGTACCATTGATATATCGTTTTTTGGTGTTGTTCTATCAGTGGAGCAGATTTAATCAGCTTCCTAACAGAGGAGATGATACTGGACCACCGACTCCCAGTGATGGAGGTCTGCAGATCCAGTTCCCACTGGCTCGCTGGCGTGGAGCCAGACATATGCTGGCACGGCAGGATAAGCCTATAGCATCCAAAAAGTGGTTAAAAGGTTAGGGGTATTTTAACTGTGAGACTTGTTTGTTCCCATATTGAAAGCCCTCCAGTATGTGTAGTCTCTGTTGTGCAATCTGTATGTCCTGCACGCAGAAAGGATTTAAATTGAATGTATGAATATTGTGATGTGTGTGGCAAGTTGTGAATTGCACGGAGGCGCTCAAAACTCAGTAGTTTGCCCGACTCAAAAACCTGAGCTAAGTGTGAAATTCCCCTCTCCTTCCACGGTGAGGCGTGAAATGTTGGGATGTAGTATGTCATGGCCTCTATGGGTGTTGCCATTGAGAGGGGTTTAGTTGTCTCGAATTTCTGTCTGTGTAGGTCCCAAAGTTGCAGCGCCAGTACTTGTACTTGTGCAGGCATCAAGGTGGGTTTTGGTCTGCTCCGTTTGTGCAGCCATATCAGGTTAGAGATAAGAAAGGGTTTGATAGCTAGGTTTTCTAAAATTACCCATTGTGGTCTGTTATCTCTCTCTAGGTGTGTCAATAGGGGAGCTATTACTGCAGCCTGGTAATAGGACTTTACGTTTGGGAATACCACGCCCCCCTGACTCCCTGGTGCGGTCAATAGACTGCAAGAGATTCTCGCTCGTCTCGCTCCCCAGGTAAACTGAAGCAGCTTAGATTGTACGGTTTTAAAAAAAGATTTTGGTGGCTTCAGCGGGGGGTTTCTAAAAACATATTGAAGTTTCGGTAATATAGACATTTTAATAGCCACAATGCATTCCGTCCACATAAGGAACAGTTGTCCCCAACCCCGCAATAAGGACAAGCACTCGTTCCACACTCTGGTATAATTAGTTGGGAACATATCGGAGGTTTTTCTTAGTAAACGTCAGGCCTAGGTATTTGATATCGCTTGTCCTCCATTCGAATTGGTAATCTTTGCGTAATTGTGCGAGGACCTGTGGGTCCAAGCGTAGCCCTAATGCCTGCGTTTTAGAAGTGTTGAGTGAGTAATAGGAGAGATCCCCGTATTCCTTAATGAGTTGCATTATATACGGTAGAGAGTGATCGGGTTGGGAGACATATAGAAGGATATCATCCGCGAATGCGCTGATCTTAATTTGCCTGTCATGCCAGTTGACGCCTTTGATGCCAGGGTGATATCTAATGGCTGTCAGCAAGGGCTCCAGGGCCAGCACATATAACAGAGGAGACAGAGGACATCCCTGCCGGGTGACATTTGTTATTCTAAAAGGGTCTGATTTAAATCCCGCCTGCAGTACTTGGGCACTGGGGTGAGAATATAAGGCGAATACTTGTTGGATGAACCGTTGTGGAAAGCCGAATATTGACAGGACTTGCCGTAAGAAGGACCTGCCCAGGCAGTCAAACGCCTTTTCAGCGTCTAGATCTAAGAGTAGCCCACCTGGGCCGGACCTCCTCATGTCTTCTATGAGGAGAGACAGTTTGCGGGTGTTGTCTAGCCCCTGCCTTCCCATCACAAACCCTGTTTGGTCGTCGTTAATGATGGAAGGCAGGATTGTGCCCAGTCTGGAGGCCAAGATCTTCGCATATATATCTTAGCATCTGTATTTAATAGTGAGATTGGTCGGAAATTCTTACATTGGTCTGAGGATTTCCCTGGTTTTGGTAGAGTAACTATAGTTGCTAGCAGCATCTCAGGGGGAAGTTCTCCCAGCTCTGTAGCCGCTTGAAATACTTGAACAAGTTTAGGGCCTAGCACTTCTGCAAACGTTTTATAATACAGGTTGGGTAGGCCGTCAGCTCCTGGTGATTTTCCGGAAGATACATTCTTTATCGTGTGGAGGACTTCAGGTAATGTGATAGGTTGAAGCAGTAGTTCCTTTTGGCTTTGAGTTATTTTAGGGAGGGGTAGTCGGGACAGAAACTCCTTGATATTTCTATCTTGTATGATGGGGGTGTCTGGCCTGTCACCCAAGTTGTACAAACTTGAGTAGTATCGTGCAAACTCTTGAGTGATATCTAGTGGGTTTTTTATTTTGCTGCCGTCAGGGCTCTGTATGTATTCTATTTTTGTAGCTGCTAGTTTACCTTTCAATCTGGTAGTCAAGTGCCTGGTAGCTTTTCCACTGTGGTGGTATTGGGTCGCTTTCAATTTGTGTAGGAGGTATGAGGTTTTGGCCACATTTAGTTCGGTGAGTTTGTCCGTTAGAGCTTGGATTTGCCTTGCAAGGGTTCGTGAGGGTGTGTGTTTATTTTGGGCAGTTAATGCTGTTAGTTGGGTTTGGCAAGCTAAAATGGTTGTTTGCCTGTGTTTTTTAAGGTACGAGGACTGTCTAATAAATAAGCCCCGGACTACGGCTTTGTGGGCCGACCAGGTATTCAAGACCGAGGTTTCACCGTTGGAATTTATTTGAAAGTAGTTTGTTAGTTCGACCCTTATTTGTTCCACGAATTTACTGTCTTGTAGCAAGGATTCATTTAGTCTCCAATTCCCTCTACCCTTGAACTGGAATTAATCATGTAAATCTAAGGTCACAGGTCCATGGTCGGACCAATTTATGTCTCCGATTGTACACTTGGCTACCTGTGCTAAGATGGGTTGGTCCACATAAAAAGTGTCTATGCGGGTGTAGGTATTGTGTGCTTTGGAGTGGAAGGAATAATCACGTTCATTTGGGTGAAAGACTCTCCAGCTATCGTATAGGTTATGAAGTGCCAGCAGTCTGAACATCTTGCGACCCATGGATGCTATGCTTGCTCGCCTAGTACCTCTTGGAAGTGCAGTTGAGCCCATATCCAGAGATATTATAAAGTTAAAATCTCCGCACACCACCAGTCCCCCCTGTCTTATCTTGTCTATCTCTTTGAGTATAAGTCTTAGGAATTTTTCTGAGCCAGTGTTGGGGAAATATACAGAGGTCAGGGTATACTGGACGTTATTGAAGAGGCCTACTAGAATTATGTATCTGCCCTGGGGGTCTACCGAAATTTCTTGTTCTTGAAACGCCATGTCCTTGTGTATGAGAATAGAGACACCCTTCGTTTTGTTGTCAGAAAGTGCATGGTAATGTGTTGTATAGAGTTTAGTGAAGAGTGCAGGGGTTCGGTTCTTGGTGAAATGCGTTTCCTGTATACAGGCAACGTCTACCCCCTCTTTTTTAAGTTCCTGCAATAGCAGCCTACGTTTACTAGGGGAGTTAAGACCTTTTACATTATGCGTTAGTATCCTAACCATGGTTGTAGAGATATATAGGAAATGCTATAAGGTTCAAGCATGGTTGCCGCAAACACTGAGGAGTTTTCACTACATGCCAGCATTCTTTGTTTGTGGAGGCTCTGCTGTACCGGCTGTTAGATTCGTGACTGAGGGAGGAGGTGCCAGGACATTGGGAGGGGTAAACTAGGAGAGTAAGAACTTGTGGGTAGCACACCCAACTCGGCTCCAAGGAGTGGAGCCATAGGGCATTGCCTAGTCGATAGGAACGTCCGGTGGGGGTAGTGGTGATAAGGTCTTCACTTATAGTGGACTTCATCATGAAACCAAGGGCAGTTGTAACACCAAATGAAAAACAACCTGACAGGTCTCGAATATAATGAGAGGTTTAACGGTTGCCTAAGCTTAGCCTCCCTATGTGTCATGTGTGTGCCTAAAATGTCTAACTGGTATTCTTATATCCCCGTGAGGGGGAGGTGGAAAGCTCATTGGGCAGCGTCACATTCTAGCCAGCAATTTATGCTGCCGACTGCTAGCTGTACTATGGCATGCACACAACATGTAACAATTTGCAGTACGGCTAAGGAAAATTAGAATTATAACTATGCAACATAAGAATATTACGCCAAAATTGGTCAGTGTTAAGATATAGTTACGTATGCTCCAGGGAAGCAACAGTCTTTCATTTGACAGTCCATTCTGGCGACCTCCTGGGCACTCTCTTTGTTTTCATCGATTCCGGCGCCGGTTGAAGGAGCCCCCAATCTCCCAGTTTCTGAGTGCCCTGTTTCAGCGTAGTGATGGAGTGTATTGCTTCTTGGTGGGAGATCAGAAGTTTGGCGGGGAATCCCCATCTGTAGTTCAGGCTGTGCTCCCGCAGGATGGAAGTGATCGGCACCATTGATTTTCGGAATTGGAGCGTGTCCGCTGATAGGTCCGCGAAGATCTTGAGGGAACTGTACTCAGGCGGCATACCTGAAATTCTACTTGCTCGTGAGATTCGATCTTTTGCATGATAAAAGTGTATTCTAGCAATCACATTTCTCTGCCATTTGTGGTAGATGTTTCGGTCTGCGCAGCCTGTGTGCTCTATCAATTATCAGCTGATCTGGATGTAATTCTGGTACAAGGCTCTGGAACAGTTTTGATAGACAGTGTTGCAGTTCGGCGTTTGAAACCGTTTCAGGTATTCCTCTGAACCGCAGGTTGTTCCGCCGCGCCCTATCCTCCATATCAGCTAATTTGAGCCTGTGGGACTCCAGAATATCATCAAATTCCTGTATCTTGTCAGCCAAACTATTATGTGCCTCCACATATTCCTCCCTTTTGGACTCCATTTGAGCTGTGCGGTTTCCTATTTCCTGCATATCTCTCTGCGGGTCTGCTGTCAGAGCTTGTAACTGCTGCTGCATACTTTGCTGGATAGTGTCCGAGAATTCAGCCATTAATGCCCAGATTCCGCCCATTGTTAGTGGCTGGTCGTCCATAATTCGTGCTGGGGATGTTTTAGAAGAGGGGGAGTTTTCCCGCGGCTTCTGGTCGCCGCCATCTTGCGCAGGCTCCCCTTCCTCATGCTGTTTAGATGCTGCGAGCCTCGCTCCGAAAAAGGAGGCTTGTTCCGCCTTCCCCGCTTTATTTTTGGGGCGCTGGGACATGGTGTGCACTGTCTCCCGACGACCTGAAGGTTCCCGCTTGTTCTGCCGGTTTGGCTTCTATGCTGGGAGCAGTGCTTACATGCGTCTGCTCAGCTCTGGCATTAAGCCACGCCCCCAATCTGTTGTATTTTGAACCTATTTGCTGAAGCAATAAAAATTGTCAAATTGATAAAAATATTTAACACATTATATCTAGAGCTTACTTTGTGAAAAAATAAGTTGTCAATGAAGTTAGAAAATTATAGATCAGAGTATTGGGAATAGTCCAACTTTTTGTCCAAATTAAAATACACACATAAGTAGACAATCAGAAACACACATATGCATTACACATACACAGTATATACACTATGCACAAATGCATATGTTTAAATAGACATCAACATTTTACATGTACACAAAATACTGCAATCACAGGATAGACCACATCATTTCTGTTTCTAAAAGATGCTGTATGTGTTAATTGTTATTAAGTGACAATAGGAATATTAATCACCACTGTGCAGCCACTGGCAAAAATTAATTAATTAGTGGCAACATAGATATCAGATATATGCAGTATGAAATGTAGAACTTAATTCAGCATGCTCTATTTCATTCACCTCTCTAAAGCTACTTCACTTTAATATGCATTTCAGATTTTGAATTACTTGCATGACTGGTTAAAACTTCAAGCCTAGTATTTATTATAACTCTTTAACATATTCAGCGAACCTAAATGAAATGTTAGAGTATTTGAAGTTGAAGGTGAATATTCACAATTTAAAACAAAATAGCACACTATAACAAAGTTACTTTTTTTTAAAGTTGGCATTGTCATCCATATGTTTCAAATTTCACATAACATCTTTAGCCTAGTATATATATACATACAATAATACACAATGTTTATCCAGTATATATTGCATGTGATTTTACAGTGTTATTACATTCTGCTTTTATACTTTTGTGACATTTTATTTAATGCTTAGAGCTCCAGGTCACATGTGATCTAAGAAATCATTACTGTGCACATTTGTACTTCTGCTAAACTTAATTCTCCCAACTATGCTTTCTTTTATAAAAACAGTATTGCAGTGTTTATTTGGATGTTGGATGTGTAGCTAGTACGTAATGTAAGATAAAGCAACAGTTTTCCTTTTAGAGTTATTTTTTCAGTAACATGTAAATTTAAAATATGTACATTTTCAAAATTATCTCTTTTGATTTATTTTTCCTTTATTAACCCCATCTCGACCTTGGACGTATCAGGTACATCTGACAAAAAACAGTCCTTAAGGCTAATTAGAACGCTGGAAGCGATCATGATTGCTTTCAGCCACTCTAATGATATTGCAGCTATGCCTCAATGTACCCCTTCTCAATACCCCTCCTCACTACTGGGCCGCCGGGTGATCGCTCCCCCAGGGCGATCACTTCCGTGTTGCTCCACGTGGCCCCGGCAGTATGGCAGAGCATCGGAAGCCAACAGGCAGGCTTCTGATGCTTTGCCTGTACTGAGTGCCTCAAGGGCTTAATTAAAATTTAAAAATAAATAAATACATTTTACAAAAAAAAATTAATCCCTTCCCGCCCTCCTTCTCCCTCCATATGTACTTACCCGATCGCCGCCGTTCCCCTGCCGCCGATCGGTCTTGTTCTTCACTGGGGGGACTGTCTGACTGCCCAGACAGTCCCCCTCTGCAAATTAGGATCCCCAGTGGCCATGTGACTGCTCGTGTCACATGGTTGCAATAGGTGTCCATAGGACTACCAGCAGGGGGTAAAAAAAAAATGTTAAAAAAAGAAAATAAAGTTAATAAAAAAAAAATATATATATATATATATATATATATAATAACTATATATATATATTGTATATATATATATATATATATATATATATATTAGAACAAATAAATAATAATTCATTAAAACTAAACATAAAAATGTAAAAATAATTAAAAAAAAAAATATATATATATGCAATTTTATTCTAACTGTATTTTTTATATAATATATATATATATACATATATATATATATATATATACAAAAGAGAGTATATATTTATTTATTTATTTGTGTTAGGTGCTCATGATAGTACAGAGTAAAATACCATAATGAAATGTAGGATAGTAAAAAGAGCATGTCGGTTGTGGTGTGCTGGAACTGACGAGGAGGTAGGCCTGAGAAAGAAGAGGGCTTACCAAGGAAAAGAAATAGAAAGGAAATAATGTTAAAATGTGGTGTGGTGGGAGGGTCATTCAACGCTGACTTCGAACGGTATGGAGCCAGGTAAGGGGTGTCCCTTAAGTAGGCTAGGAGTGGATACCAGGCACCTCCCACAAATACAGGCCAAATTGCCTTAATACTTGTGTTAAGTGCTCATGATAGTACAGAGTAAAATACCATAATGAGAACAACACCATACGGACCTCTCATAGAACCCAAGCGGCCACAGCCGACTCATGTACCAACACCCAAGATGGGGATAGACAACAGGAGACCCCTGAGCGAACCACACACACTATCACTTTAGAGACTGAAAATCATGATCCTAGAACCACGATCCCACACAGAACGAGGATAGCTCTCCTTTCCATGAGACCCACATCGCACGTACAAACAACCCAGCTGACTAACTTACGCAAGGCTAGGACACAAGGCACAGGGAGGGAGGGAGGGAAAACAACATAAGTGGGATGGACCTGGGAGTCCACCACACAATGAAAACAGACGCCACTCATACCAGCCAAACACGACCGCATGATACCCATGCCACTAGAGTTACCTCTACATCCTACTTACTATTCATCCAAAAACACATTACGCAGATAACAGTCTATAAAGGAATACGAATTTAGGACCCGACACCTCGTAACCCTTGGGAGCCACTGACATATGTACTCACATGGATATAACACATATAAAACTAATACCAAC